GTGGGGCGAGCGGCTCTGCTCAGCACGGGAGGTCGGCTCTGGTGTGCGAGGCTCTGACACTCACGTCGAGCATCTTCTCGTAGGTCTGGTACTCGTCCAACAGATACTTGGGATTCGGAAAGCCCAAAAGCCCGTCCTGCACAGACTGGGGTTCCGAGCCCACGGTGCCGGAGAAGGACAGGATGAAGGACCCAGCTGGGGCGAAAAGCGTGGCGCCCATGATGTCGGGGGGGCTGACGCAGCTCTCCGGGTTTGAGATCGAGTAATCTTTCTCGGCCTTGACGAGAAAGTAGCGGCCCATCAGATTGGGGCTCAACAACCAAGTGGCGCCGGGATCGGGCTTGTTCTCCGGGTTGTTGAAAAACGAGCCCATGGCCAGGTACTTGCCGACCGCCCCGAAAACTTGCCCGCCGCCGTTCATGGTGTTCACGTGTGCGAGCGATTCATCGAAGACGACGCCGTTGTGCTCCACTTGGGGCGGCGCTGGTCCCGATGGGCTGCCTTGGTCGATGCCAGAGTCTGGCACGGTGTACGAGAGCGCCGCTTGGCTCATCCAGAACGGCGCCTGCTCGCGCATCTCCTCCTTGGCCTTGGCCTTGTCGTCGTCGACAAGGTTGGGAGGGCACTCGTCGCACGGCGAGGCCTTCTTGCACTCCGCCCTCTTGGCGGCCATGTACGCGGCCGTGGGCTTCGGGATCGCAGGCTTCTTCATCATTGAGGACCAACAGCGAGGAGGCAATCGAGGCGTCGTGGCGTGCCAAGTCGTCGTGCTTCAGCTGGTTTTTTCAGTTTCTTTTCCTTTTTTTGTGCTAGCTTTTAGAATATTTTTCCAACCCGTTTTTTCCTTTCTCCGAAGATGCTGTAACGCAAATTCTTTTCCCCTGATAGTGCTAGCACGCGCCAGTTCGCACATGTGTGGAGCCTGTCTGCTGTGCGAGAGAGTTGGGTAAAGAAAGAAAGAAAGAAAACAGACAACCCAAGGGAGGGATGGGAGGACTCCAGCTGGTTTTGCTCCATCGGTTTTTTATTTCCTTTTTTTGTAAGATTCCTTTTTGTGTATCGCATCTCATGAACGCGACATTTCTTTTTCCCTTGGCGGCGACTCCTCGATCGGGATGCCATGCGTCATGGCGCACTCGATCGAAGGAGTCGGCCCCTTGCTCGTGTATTTGTCCGGCACCGAGTATGCGAGCGACGCCTGGCTCATCCAGAACGGCCCCTGCTCGCGCAGAGTCTCGTAGCTGACCTCGCCATCCTGCGCCTTCTTGCACTCCGCCCTCTTGGCGGCCATGTACTTGGCCGTGGGCTTCGGGACTGCAGGCTTCTTCATCATTGAGGACCAACAGCGAGGAGGCAATCGAGGCGTCGTACCGCGGTGAATCGTGCTTTTTTTTGTGCGAAATTCTTTTTCCGTTGGTGGCGCTCGTGCTCCAGCTGCGGTGTGCCTCATCGCACTCAGACATGGCCCCAGGCAGCAAGCCCGCCCCTCAGCTCTGGCGCGCGAACCGCTTCAACCGCCTACGTGGCGGCGTCAGCCAGTACGATCTGCCGCCGCTCACCTCGCTGCCGCCGCCACCGGCCGCGCTGGACGGCGGCAGCGCCGTCGCCGCAGCCGTGCCTGTAGCCGTCGCCGCGGCGGCCATCCTTCTGGCCCTGGCGCGGCGCCGCGGCGCCTCCGCATCTGGAGCGGGCTCGCCGCGAGCGCCGCCGGCCGCCTCCTCGCTCGCGGCCGCGGCCGCGACCGGCATCGGCGCTGCTGCGCTCGTGTGGGCCGCCTCGGCGCTGCTGGGCGGGCCGGACGGCGTCGCCGGCGCGAGCTGCGCGGCGGCGTGCGCCGTCCTCGGGCTGCTGCTCGGCTTGCTCGCGGACCACGCCGCAACCAGCAGCATCGCCGACGCAGCCGGCACTCACAGTTGCTAGAAGCGGACAGACCGATCTTTGTCTTGCAAGTGCACTCGAGAGGACACGACCTCAAGCGTGTTCTGCTGTGCCCCGTGTACTCGCACCCCTCGTCCGCTCTCCACGCTCTGCCAGATCGGCGTCGCTTCACCTCGGTGTCTGCCCAACCCAAGGCTCGCTGCTACTCTCGGTCCTCATCCCCGCCCTCGTCGTCGCACTCCCGCTGTCCACCGGCGGCGGCACGGCCGGCGGCGGCAGTGCCGCCGCCGCACGCGCGGGCGCCTCCTCGGTGGGTGCGGGCGGCGCGGCGCCGGGCCGCGCCAGACAGCAGCCTCGCTCGCCGCTTGCGCCGGCGCGGGCGGCGCCTGAGCCGCAAGCCGCTGCCGCGCAGATGGCTTCGCGCGTGGGTGCCGTTTCCTAGACACTTCCTAGACACTTGCTAGACACTTCCTGCAGATGGCTTCGCGTGTGGGTACCGATGCAGCCGAGAGGTCGAGCGAGGGGTGGCCGAGGGGTGGTCGAGGTGTAGCCGAGGGGCAGCCGAGAGGCAGCCAAGGTGTAGCCGAGGTGTAGCCGAGGTGTGGCCGAGGGGTGGCCGATGGGTGGCCGAGGGGCAGCCGAGGGGCAGCCAAGATGCAAGCCCCTCCTTCGCGCAAGGCGGACACACCACAGCAGCACGACTCGTTCCTCCAGTCAGGTTGAGTCGCTCGACTGCACGGGGCCTGGATTCGGTTCTTTGGTGGTAGGGGCCGCCGCGGCCGCCGCCGCCGCGCTGCCGGCGGGTGCGGCGGTGGCACAAGGCATCGGCCGCATCCTCACGCACGTGGCATCCCGACCCGCCCCACCGCCCTCCTCCTCCTCCTCCTCCTCCTCCTCCTCCGGCGGCGGCGGCGGCGGCGGCGACGAGGCGGCGGCTGGCGCTGCCGCCGGCGCCGCTCTCCTCCCTCTGGTCGCCAGAGACATAGATCGCTCTGCCCCCTCTGGTCGCCCTTGACACATGCATCGGTACTGAGCCTGGCGAGGTCCTCCCGCGCCTCTCGGGGGTGTATCCGGCCGAGTCATGGGGCGAGACTGCGTCCGCTGTTCCGACAGTCATTTTTTCAGTTTTACCCCCCTCCCAGCATGGGGGGGGGGCCCACAGGCACACACACCCGTTGCACACGATTGGTTCGGGAGCCGACACGAGGCACGTTTTCCCCGGCGGTCCTTGCACATTGGTTCGCCCAGCACACAGCCCCAGGACAGTTGTTTCGAAAGCCCCCCACACCCCCCCGGTTGGGACGAGGCGCCCAAGCCAGGAGAGGATGACGCCTTTTTGGAGGGGCAAAACAAACGACACAAGCCTCACAGCGGACAATTTGTTGGTTGCCGCCCAAGTTTTTGAATGGCCCCCCCCCCCCCCCCCCCGGTGGTTGTTTGCGTGCCCCGCGTGCCCCGCCTTACCCCCACATTCATGTCCGCCCGCGTCACGCTGGCAGACTTCCGAGCGCTGCAGGAGAACCTCCTCGCGCTCAAGCACGAGAATTACGCCATGCGCGAGCTCCTACGCAGGCAGCAGGCGCAGGCCGCCGCCTCTCCGGCCTGGTACCCTCCGGACCTCAACCCGTTCGGCCCGGGCCTGCCGCGTCCTTCGACACCTCCCGCCACCGGGGACGGCGGCTCCGCCGCCGGCTCTGAGCCGGAGCAGGGCTCGACAGGAGGCGGCGACACGCCGCTGCCCGCGACGCCGGAGCGCGCAGTCTCGCCGTGGGACGATCCCGGCGGCCGGGGCGGTGGCGGCGGCGGCGGCCACAGCGGCGGCGGCGGCGGCGGCCACAGCGGCGGCGGCTGTAGCAGCGGTGGCGGCATACTTCGCTCCTCGTCGTTTGCGCTGGCGGCGGCGGCCGCCGCCTCGAGCTTCGCCGTGCATGAGGAGAGACGGGCGGCGGCGAGGCGCGCCTTTGCACTGCGCGACGCCGCGACGCTGCGCCTCGCTTGGCACGGCTGGCGCGCCGCGCACACGCAGTCGCGCATGCTCAAGAACCTCGGCCCGCTGCTGGCTTCGCAGCAGCCCGCGGTGGGCGGCGGCGGCGAGGCAGAGGCGGCAACAAGCAGGGCCAAGCAGGTGGCGGCGGCGGCCGAGAAGGCGGCGGCGGCAGCGGTGGAGCAGGAGGTGCGAGTGGCGGCGGCGGAGGCGCGTGTTGAGGCGGAGGTGGCGGAGGCGGAGGCGGTGGCGGCGGCGGCGGCGGCGGCGGCGGCGGAGGCGGAGGTGCTGCGTGCTCAGGTGGCCTCGCTGTGCACCGAGCTGGAGGCAGCAGAGGAGAGGGAGCACGCGCTCTCGCTGCGGTGCGCGCGCGAGGTGGCGCTGCACTGGCGCGCCACCGACGCCGGCAAGAGAGCGCTGTGGGGCCTGCGGCGGCGAGGGTCGGCGCGGCTGCACTTTGGCGCGTGGCGCGAGGTCTGTTCGCGCCGGAGGCTTCTGACCCGTGTGAGTGGCGTCGCTTCGACCCTCGCGTGGCTCGCACGCGACGGCGAGGCGGCGGAGGGGGAGGTGATGATTGGGGCCGAGGCGGCGGAAACGGCATTGACGGCGGGGGATGGCGGCGCTGCGTTCGGCGAGGGGGTGGCTTCAGCCTAAAAGACGTAAGACCGACGCGCGACGGCTAAAGTACGATAAGTAGAGCCAGCGCAGAAGAGCGTAGAGGAAGCCTGCGAAATTTCCGTTTGATTTTTGTGGCCTAATCGGCTGATGTGAATTGTACATCCCTCATAAACACCCATAAACCACGTCGCGCGCACAAAAC